TTTCCTACGGAGCCTGGCGTGGCCTTTCGAGATGTGCTCCCAGGCATGCAGGCCCAGCAAGGAGCCCGGCCCCACCCACAACAGCCTCTTCCTGTTCGACGGCCTCGCACACCTACGTGCTGGCCTACACCCAGGTGAGAGGCCCGGCCAGCCCCCGGCTGCTCCCGGTCTGGGCGGCCGGCGCCCGTGTCCGGCCACCCTCAGCCCGGCACAGCAGGCCTATCCTCCCCCACAGAGCACCGCGCCAAGCTGACGCCGGGCTGCGAGGCTGCTGAGGCCGGAGACGGAGGCCATGTGACTTCTTTGATGCAGCAGTTTCGACGGACGCCGAGCCAGCAGGGTCAGGCCGGGGTGCCCGGGCCAGAGGACTGGGCGGGGCGGGCAGGGCTGGGGGCTGACGGCTGGGCGGGCGCAGGGCTGGGGCTGAGGGTGGGGGGGGCGGCAGGCTGGGGCTGAGGGCTGGCGGGCGGCAGGTGCGGGGCTGAGGCTGGCATGGGGCGGCAGGCAGGGCTGGGGGCTGAGGGCTGGGCAGGGGCGGCAGGGCTGGGGGCTGAGGGCTGGGGTCCTCTCCAAAACGCCAGCCCAGTTTGGAACACCAAAGGACCCGCCTACAGCGTGGGGCAGGGCCCCGGGGAGGCGTCCGGCCTGCTCAGAGCCCCGCCCCGCAGGTGCTGGAGGCGCTGCTGCCGCTGAAGGGCCTGGAGGAGCGCGTGGCAGCCGCCGTGGACCTGATCACCAAGAGCCACCACGGCTTGGACCGCCAGGAGCTGAGCTTCGCCGCGCTCTCCTTCTACCACAAGCTGCGCGCCGCAGAGCAGTACACGCCCAAGGCCAAGTACCACGGCAACGTCACGCTGCTGCGCGCCAAGACGGGCGGGGCCTATGGCGAGGACCTGGGCGCAGACTACAACCTCTCCCAGGTGTGCAAGGGGCCCGCAGGGCGGCGGTCGGGAGCGGGCGGGCGGTCGGGAGCGGGCGGGCGGTCGGGAGCCGGCGGGCGGTCGGGAGCCGGCGGGCGGTCGGGAGCCGGCGGGCGGTCGGGAGCCGGCGGCGGTCGGCAGCGGGCAGCCCCGGCTCACGGGCACTCCCCACAGGTGTGTGACGGGAAGGTGTCTGTGCACGTCATCGAGGGAGACCACCGCACGCTGCTGGAGGGCAGCGGCCTGGAGTCCATCGTGGGCATCATCCACGGCTCCCTGGCCGAGCCCCGCGTGAGCGTGCGGGAGGGCTAGACCTGCCCATTGCCACAGGCGCGCTGCGCCCACTCGCCTGGCCGTGCTGTGGGCCAGGAGGGTCCTGCCGGTGGGACCCTGCCCCGCGGCTGCTAGAAGCAAAGTAGGCCGCCACGCCGCCTCCCACCCACCACCTCCAGTGCGTGCGGGGCGCGGGGACCCCAGCCGTCGGCTCGGAGACGCCCGTCTGTGAAGAGCCGGCGCGGCCCGCGGGAGCCGGGCTGACCCTTTTGTGCCAAGTGGTCTTTGCCACTTGCTTGGTTTGTTGTTTTTCCACTCGAGTTCGCATATTTATTGCGTCACTGGCGAAGCCGCCCGTGGCCTCGACCCCTATGAAGGTCCCGGGCAGCGTCCACTCGCGCCTTCCATGCACGCAGGTGGCCACCCGGGCCTGCCAGCCGAGCCTCCGTGGCCGGCCCCGCCCACCGCTCCGAGGCCACGGGACGGGCTGGGTGCCCGGCTGCCCATGAAGCAGGCCCGGCCCTGCGGACGCGCCGGGCGCCTGCTCCCTGACGTCTGTCTGTCCTGGAGACGATTCCGACTGCTGCTCAGAGTCTGGACCCACCGTGGCGTCCGCGCAGAGACTGCGTCTGCCCTGTCCGCTCTGCGCCGGTTTGGTGAACTGCTGCTCCAGACGCCCGTCCCCAGCCCCACCATTAAACCGCACGTGAGCTCTGGCTTCCTGGCGTCTTTCTTTCCCGCCCCTAGCCAGCCGCCGCAAGCTTCGGCTTCACCACGCCGGGTCACGCGACGCCCTCTGCCCTCCAGGACCGCGGCGTGGCTCCCACCTGCCAGGGAGCGCACACATCTGCAGGGCGTGGGCCGGAGGGTCAGGGCCCAGGGACACAGTGGCCGCGGCCCTGCCCAGGCACGGTCGAGAGGAGGGACACAGGGCGAGTCAGTGAAGCGGTGGGGGTGGACAAGGCACGAAGGAACCTGTAACTGGTTGTGGTCGACTAGTTGTGAACCCCATTACTGGCAGAATTACCCAGCTTTGTTTTGGGGGCTTCGGCTGGGTGGTCGAGGCCCAGCCCCGGTGCAGACCAGCCTTCTGGTCGGGGATGTCAACCCGCCCACAACGCCTGCACCCTGCTCGCTCACTGGCCACGCTGGCGCAGGCGGGCGCAGGCTGCCCGGCTCTGGAGTCAGGCAGAGGAGTGGAGTCTGGGGGGCAAAGAGGCCCAAGACCTGGAGTCAAGAGGGGGAGGCAGCACTGGCAACCCTCAGGGGATGTCTAGGCTGATGGGGGTGCAGAGGTGAGTTGGGGCGAGGCCCAGCGGAGCCCTGCAGGGGCTGTAGGCCTGGGTGGTGGCAGGGGCCAGGGCCGAATTCAGGGGAGCAGCAGGGCGGGCCAGCCCCTGGGGTTCTGGAGGCACAAAGGTGGGTGGGGGCTGAGACAGCCCTGGCTGCCTGCAGGGGGAGAGGCAGGCCAGGCTGCAGGGGTGAGGTGTGGTGGGGTCCAGGCACACCATGGTGGAACTAGACAGGAGCCAAGCAAGGCAAGGCAGGTCCACACCTCCCGCAGCCCCGCCCCACACTGAGGAGACGCACCCTTCAGCCACAGCTTGCTCTGGCCTCTCCGCCCCGCCATGCACACTCAGGGTCACCAGGGAGGGTCCCAGCAGCCCCCAAGGCCCCCCAAGCAGGTGGGAGTTCAGTCTGAGCTATTCTCTGGGCAGCCCAGGGGCTGGTCTGGGCTCAGAACCTGGCTCTGCTTTGTCCCTGGCCTCAGGGCGCTGCGGGGCAGTGGGCCGTGCCTGGCACGCAGGGTTCTGCTGGCCGTTGATGCCTGGACCCCACATCCAGGTACCTGCAGTTCCTGCTAGCATGGGACGCTCCCTGCCAGGACCAGTGGTCACTGCACCCCACAAGGGCTTAGAGGACAGACCGTGCGCCAGGTCACAAATCAACTCGAGGGAGCTCTCACGGGAGCAGAGAAGTAGCTCTCTGCTCTGAAGAAGTGTCTGGGCCGGGCGCAGTGGCTCACACCTGTCATCCCAGCACTCTGGGAGGTAAATCGTTGAGCTCAGGAGTTCGACACCAGCCTGAGCAAGAGCAACACTCTCTACTAAAAAAATAGAAATTAGCTGGACTATTAAAAAAATATATTTTTAAAGGCCCAGCACGGTGGCTCATGCCTGTAATCCTAGCTATCTGGGAGGCTGAGGCGGGCGGATCACTCGAGGTCAGGAGTTCGAAACCAGCCTGAGCAAGAGCGAGACCCCGTCTCTGCTATAAATAGAAAGAAATTAATTGGCCAACTAATATATATAGAAAAAATTAGCCAGGCATGGTGGTGCATGCCTGTAGTCCCAGCTACTCGGGAGGCTGAGGCAGAAGGATTGCTTGAGCCCAGGAGTTTGAGGTTGCTGTGAGCTAGGCTGACGCCACGGCACTCACTCTAGCCTGGGCAACAGAGTGAGACTCTGCCTCAAAAAATAAAAAAAAAGAATAGAAAGGACAAAGGAAATAATTCATGAAACTGACAGAAGTTACCCCAATCTGTGGTACCTAATGTACCACAGCAAAAGGGCTAGCGTTTCTGTTGCTGGGGTTCCGGTAGGAAAAGGGGGCGGGGCTGAAAGAGCAGTCAGAGAGTCCCAAATTGGCAAAAGACAGGAACCTGAAGATTTGAGAAGCCGACTGAACCCCAAATGGGAAAACCACAAAAGCGTCCACTCAACACACCAATAATTGGCCACTACACTCTACTAAGCTAGGGGCAAGCCACAGGAAGTGAGGCTCACAGGCAAATAATTTTTTGTTATGTCCTAAAAACTGAAGACAAAGGAAAAGATCTCAGAAGCAGTAAGAGAGGCACGACACCTTATCTGCAGGAGAAAGACCGTTCAGAGGACAGGAAGCAGGAGAAACTCGCATGGCAGCTTGCTGGTGTGGGTGAAAAGAACTGTCACCCCAGAACGTTACAGCCAGGAAAAACACCTTTCAGGGTTGAAGAGGAAATCGAGACACTCTCACCTAAAGAGAATTTGTCCCCAGCAGACCTACCCTAAGAGAATGACTGAAGAAAATTTTCTGAATAAATAAAAAGGAAAAGATAAAAAAAGAATTTTGAAATATTAGGGAGAAAGAAAATGGAAAAGATATGGGTAAATACAATATTTTCCTTTTCTAGAGTTTCCTAACTTACGTTTAACAATTCAAATGAAAATTATAACGCTATACGATGTAATTCTACACGCAGGTAGAGTAAATATTTAAGATGATTGTAATATAAATGAGGTAGATTCAGGATAGGGAGCTATAAGGGAAGGAAAGTTTTGTACACTGTACTGGAGCTGGCAGAGGACACCAGTAGACCGTGGTCGTGATGTCGGTACAACGTGACGCCTACAGCAACCGCTAGGGAAGCTGTGCAAAGAGACACACACAACTGCAGAGGAGCAACTTGGTGCAAAGCCATGGAGCAAGCAGCTCCAGGATCGGTCCCTCGCCCAAGCAACCACTAAGCAAGACGAATTGGAGCCGGCAACCCAGAGCTCTGGGACCCGACTGGACAATCATTTTTTTGCCTTAAATAAATAGAGATATATTTTTTTTTTTTTTTTTTCAGACAGAGTCTCACTTTGTTGCCCAGGCTAGAGTGAGTGCCGTGGCGTCAGCCTAGCTCACAGCAACTGCAAACTCCTGGGCTCAAGCGATCCTCCTGCTTCAGCCTCCTGAGTCGCTGGGACTACAGGCATGCGCCACCATGCCCGGCTAATTTTTTCTATATATTTTTAGTTGTCTGGCTATTTTTTTTCTATTTATAGTAGAGACAGGGTCTCGCTCTTGCTCAGGCTGGTTTCGAACTCCTGACCTGGAGCAATCCACCCGCCTCGGCCTCCTAGAGTGCTAGGATTACAGGCGTGAGCCACCGCGCTCAGCCCAAGATTTATTCTTTTAACATTCTAGAGGCCAAAAGTCTAAAATCAAGGTGTCAGCAGAGCCACGCTCCCTCTGAAGGCTCTAGGAAAGAACCCTCTTCCTCGCCTCTCCCGGTGTCTGGTAGCCCCAGGCATCCGTTGGCTTGTGACAGCGTCAGCCCCCAATTTCTACCTCCATCTTTGCCTGGCCTTCTCTCCTGTGTCTCTGTGCCTCCTGACTGGACACTCTTGACAAGCATGGGGGCTCGCAGAAGGGCGAGGGGCTGTTGTCCGGTGTCTGGTGGGAAGGCAGTGTGAGCAAGCCAGCCACCACCCCTTCCTCAGCCCGGCGCACCTGGGGGGCAGCGGCCTGCATTCCTGGGGCAGCTGGCAGCTGCCAGGGCAGGCAGTGCAGACCTTGTGCCCAGAACCTTGGGGCTGAGCACTTTGGTCGGTCCAGAGACTCTGAGGGACCGGTGCTGGCTGGCACTTGGTTGTTCTGGCCTCCTCAGACTGCATCCATCTGTCCCCTCCACCCTCCAGGACAGGAGCTCGGTCAGAAGATTTGCAACACCTTTCCCCACCCATTTTGGGTTTGGGTTTTTTAAGACAGGGTCTCACTCTGTCACCCAGCTGAGTGCAGCGGCATCATCACAGCTCACTGCAGCCTCAAACTCCTGGGCTCAGTGATCCTCCTGCCTCAGCCTCCCGAGCAGCTGGGACTACAGGTGCCACCACTGTGTCTGGCCCTCAAGAGCAGATTTGTTGGTGTTTTGTTTTGAGACAGAGTCTCACTCTGTTGCCCAGGCTAGAGTGCGTGGCGTCAAGCCTAGCTCACAGCAACCTCAAACTCCTGGCTTAAGCGATCCTCCTGCCTCAGCCTCCCGAGTAGCTGGACTACAGGCATGTGCCACTATGCCTGGCTAATTTTTCTATATATATTTTAGTTGTCAATTATTTCTTTCTATTTATAGTAGAGACAGATCTCCTCTGCTCAGGCTGGTTTTGAACTCTTGACCTCGAGCAATCCACCCCCTTGCGCTCCAGAGGTGCTAGGATTATAGGTGTGAGCCACCGCGCCGGCCAACAATTTCTTGTTCTTTCACATGACTATAATTATTTAATTGAGATACTGATATTTCAGATAGTATGTTGTAGAAACGCTGGAGTCTAATCCTTTCCCCTCCTCACTGAGTGTGGTGGGTAGTACTTGCTTGCTGGCTTGCTTAGAGGCGTTCTGTGAGTCAGTCTCCTCTGCATTAGAGCCACTGACCTCACTGCTAATTTTTTCTTTTCACAGGATGGGTTTACTTCTGTCACCAGGCTGGAGTGCAGTTGCGTAATCATAGCTCACTGTAGCCTAGAACTCCTGGGCTCAAGCGATCCTCCTGCCTCAGCCTCCTGAGTAGCTGGGACTACAGGCATGCACTACCACACTCAGCCAATTTTTTAACTTTTTGTTATGAGAAGGTCTCGCTGTTGCTCAGGCTGTCTCTAACTCTCCTGGGCTCCAGTGATCCTCCCACTCTGCCTTCCCAAAGTAGTAGGATAATGTGCCAAGGCAGTGGCGCGCAGTGGCTCACACCTGTAATCCTAGCACTCTGGGAAGCCGAGGCGGGCAGATTGCTCAAGGTCAGGAGTTCAAAACCAGCCTGAGTAAGAGTGAGACCCCCGTCTCTACTAAAAATAGAAAAAATTAATTGGCCAACTAAAATATATAGAGAAAAAATTAGCCGGGCATGGGTGGGCATGCCTGTAGTCCAGCTACTCGGGAGGCTGAGGCAGCAGGATTGATTGAGCCCAGGAGTTTGAGGTTGCTGTGAGCTAGGCTGACACCACGGCACTCACTCTAGCCTGGGCAACAAACGAGACTCTATCTAAAAAAAAGAAAAAAAATAGTGCCAAGCCACCACACCCAGCCTCTGCTAAATAAAAAAAAAATTTTTTTATTTGCATGTAAACCTAGCTTCATACAGCTTGCCCCTGGGTCAGTATAGCGTAGTGGCCAATTATTGGTTAGTGATCATGCGTAAATATCGTGAACCAGTCAGCCTCCATGCTTCAGTGATGGCTGTGGGCATGAGTTGTGGATGCATTCAAAATTCAGGCTCCTTTTTTCTTCTATATTTTTAGTTGGCCAATTAATTTCTTTCTATTTTTATTAGAGACAGGGTCTCGTTCATGTTCAGGCTGGTCTCGAACTCCTGACCTTGAGCAATGCGCCCACCTCGGCCTCCCAGACTGCTAGGATTACAGGCGTGAGCCACCTCGCTCAGCCCCAGATTCAGGCTCTTTACAGTTTGGAGTTGGCTTTTACTTTTTGTTTGTACAAAGCCTCAAGTTCAGCCAGAGCAGCACACAGCTAGAGCCCTCTCTGGCAGCGGGGACACCCAGGCACTTTCTAAGGCCTGGAGGGCCTGGCTTAGTTACTGAGTGTCCTTGTGAACTTTCTGGCCACACTCTCGGAAGCTGCTTCTTCTTCTTCTTCTTTTTTTTTTTTTCAGACAGAGTCTCACTTTGTTGCCCAGGCTAGAGTGAGTGTCGTGGCATCAGTCTAGCTTACAGCAACCTCAATCTCCTGGGCTCAAGCAATCCTCCTGCCTCAGCCTCCCGAGTAGCTGGGACTATAGACATGCACCGCCATGCCCAGTTAATTTTTTGTATATATATTTTTAGTTGGTCAATTAATTTCTTTCTATTTTTAGTAGAGACGGGGTCTCGCTCAGGCTGGTTTTGAACTCCTGATCTTGAGCAATCTGCCCGCCTCGGCCTCCCAGAGTGCTAGGATTACAGGCGTGATCTCGGAGGCTTCTGCCTTTAGTCAGATCAGGAAACTCTGAAAAAGCTCCTTTCTGCATCTGTTGGGTCTCAAACTGTCTTCAGTTTAAAGTAATCTTCAGGCCGGGTGTGTTGGCTCATGCCTGTAATCCTAGCACTCTGGGAGGCAGAGGAGGGAGAATTATTTGAGCTCAGGAGTTCTAGACCAGCCTGAGCAAGAGGGAGACCCTGTCGCTAATAAAAATAGAAATAAATTACTTGGACAGCTAAAAATACATAGAAAAAATTAGCTGGCCATGGTGGCGCATGCCTGTAGTCCCAGCTACTCGGGAGGCTGAGGCAGGAGGATCTCTTGAGCCCAGGAGTTTGAGGTTGCTGTGAGCTAGGCTGACGCCACGGCACTCCAGTTCAGGCAACAGAGTGAGACTCTGTCTCAAATAAAATAAATAAAATAAAATAAAAATAAAATGATCTTCATATCATCTCTGGGGGACTGAGTGGGTCCCCCAGTTCGAAATAAAGCAAAGAGGGACTGGGGCTCCGGTGTGCGGACGTCCCAGGACAGCTGCTGGGTGTTCCCGTACACAATAAATCGTGTTTTTGTGCGGTTATGCGGTTACCCAGTGTTGGGTCAACGCAAAGGGCCTCGGTTCCCGGCGGGCTCTGGGGGCCGCTTTGGGGCGACGATGCCCCCGCCCCAGGGTCCACCCGGGCTTTGTTCACCCCGTAACGAGGCCTAATTTCCACATGACCTGCGCCCCGTTGTAAGCGACGGTCCTGGCCAGGCGGCGAGACCCAGGCCTGGCGGCGCTGACCTCGGCCTCTGACCTCCGACCCCTCGGGCGGCCTCTCTGACGCCGGCCCTTCCGTGCCGAGCGCGGTTTCCGGGGGGACGGGTTTCCCGCCGTACCGCGGACCGCCCGGACCGCCCAGGCAGCGGCCCTTCCGGCGGCAGCGCGGAGCGCTGGGCCCGGCGGCGGCCTCGGCGCGCTGCGGCGGCGTTTGCGGCAGCCCGAGCGGGGACGGGACCGGGCCAGGCCGGGCCGGGGAGGGCGGCGCGGCGGACGCGGGGGCGGCGGGGCCCAGCGCCCCGGCCCCAGCCGGCCCCACCCGAGCCAGTGCCACGCGCGGCGCGGATACGCGGGGACCCTCTCAGGTAAGGACGCCGGTGACTCCGGTGATTCCTGTGTAATTTCACAGTCGCTGAAAATGCCGTGCCAAGGGGTGGGCCCCGGTCAGTTACGACCCCCAGCGTGCGGAGTCGTTCCGGGAGCGGCGCGGCTGTGGGGCTGCCTCAACGCGAGTTTCCTCCGACCCACCGCAGGTTAAGTGGAGTCGCGAGTAAGGGAGGGTGGTTCCACCCAGGTGACGCGCCAGGCCCGAAGGGGATAAAAGGGGAGCAGCGTCTCTGTTCTTTCTCTCCCTTTCTAGGGGGCAAGAATTGTTTTTTACAAGGAAGTAGGGTCATAGTGGCACATCCTCACAGTGTTCTGTCAGGGATGGTGACAGCCTCACTGGGAGATCTGACACTTCGGAGGAGGGGTCGTGGCTGGCAGGAACGGCCTGGCCTGGTGGGTTGTGCCTTGATCGTATTACTTGGGTGCTGTTTTTGCTATTTCATCTTCTCTTCACACCCATCCTTCCAGGCGAACGTTTAGTCCCACTGACACTGACAAATGAGGGGGTCTAGGCCCAGAGAGGTCCAGTGACTTGACCAAGGTCTCCACTAGAAGGTGGCAGCACCGGGGCGTCCTTTCTCAAGCCCGTGCTGACTGACAGTTGTAGTGCCCATGTGTGCGACCCATCCAGCAGTTCCACCAGGTGGCACAGGAGGGGCGTTAAGAGGAACCACTTCCTGCGAGTTGAAGACGTTGTGCTCTCTGCTGCCCTGACTGAGCCCCTGGTCTTCCTCCCTCTGTCAGTGCGGAGACGATGGCCAAGCTGCAGGGCTTCGAGTTCTGGAGCCGCACCCTGGGGGGAGCCCGCCACGTGGTGGCTCCCATGGTGGACCAAAGCGAGCTGGCCTGGAGGCTGCTGAGCCGCCGCCACGGGGCACAGCTGTGCTACACCCCCATGCTGCATGCCCAGGTCTTCGTCCGCGACGCAAACTACCGGAAGGAAAACCTCTACTGCGAAGTGTGCCCGGAGGACCGGCCCCTCATTGTGCAGGTGGGCAGGGGCGCCTTGGCCCCTGAAACACTTGTGAAGCAGTCTTCGCTCTGTGTGGGGATTTCACCCTCAGCCTTTTCAGAAACAGCTTCCCAATTCCAGGGTAAGGGGGTGGAGGTGGTGCCAAGTGTGGGGAGTTGATGCAAGGTGGAGCCAAGTGCGCCTCCCAGAAACCAACCCCCTTCCCTGGGAGCTGGTCCAGACAGTGGGGGTATGAGATTCAAGCCCCTTGATGTCACCCTCAGGGCTGCCTCCCTCCCTCTTCAGAATGATTAGAGAGAAGGCTTTGCTCTTCAGGAGAAGTCAGTGTAGTGGCTTCTGCTACAGATCAAAGGAAAGTCTATGAATCTGTGCCTTACTCTCAGTGGTCTGGGGACTCATCCTAGCTCTGTCACCTTGTAAACGCTGGTAGAGCCGGACACCATCCTGCAGGGAACCCCAGGACCACACCCTGATCAGGTCACGGTAGAACCCCTCGTGGGGCTGTGCAGCAAGGTACTAGGGCCTGGCTGGGCTCGTGGGTGACTTCTGTGTCTTCTCCAGTTCTGTGCCAATGACCCAGAGGTGTTTGTCCAGGCGGCTCTCCTGGCACAGGATCACTGCGACGCCATCGACCTGAACTTGGGCTGTCCACAGATGATAGCCAAGAGAGGCAAGTCCGGCTCCAGGGTTCTGTGTTGAGCACTCCCCAGGGGCTAGGCATGCCTGGAGCCCGTGGACACCCCAGCTGCAGGGTCCAGGGCCAGTGAGTGTGGCCCCGGGTGGGGCTGAGCCCTTGCTCTGTGGGCGCTCACACCCTTCAGGGACTTCCTTCTGGATCAATATGATTTGCTGACATGTTTGCCTGTCACCCCTGCCTGTCTTCCTCACTGGGCCCTGAGGAGGTGCTGGTTGTTCCCAAACCAAGCAGGGTAGCTATCCTGTTCCTCAACCTTTGGGGTTGGGCTGCTGGGCAAAGAGCCCTAAAGTCAGATGCCGACAAACTGCCTGACTCGGGAGTTGTCACCCTGCCCCTGCCTGAGATACTACTGCTTTTGGGGTCCCCATAGGGGCAGGCCTGGCAGGATGGCCCAGGGCCTGCGTGGCTGCAGGAGAGACAGTGACCCAAATGGGAGGAGGGTACAGAGGCAGCCTTGGTCCTGCCTGGCCTCAACATCGGGGGTACCAGCAGGCCACACCTGTCCTTTGCAGGTCACTATGGTGCCTTCCTGCAGGAAGAGTGGGACCTGCTCCAAAGAATGAGTGAGTGGCTGTGTGTCGCCGCACGGATGTGGGGAAGCCCCAGAGATAGCTGTGTGGGGCTGTGGGGCCATGGCACTGGCCATGTGTTGGGGCTCAGGAGAACACCTGAGCTTATGGAGTGTCTTGGGATCACCCTGGGAACTCCTGGCCATGGCATGCTCCCTGCTGGAAGGAGGGGACTGTGAGGTCACCTGCACTGTACCAGCTGTCCCCTAGAAGCAGACAGTCAGTTCTGGGGCTGTGTCTTTGCTTCATCCCAGCCTCCTAACATCCTGGGGGATAGAGCTGGGTCTCAGCTGCCACCACGTGGGAGCTGGTGTTGGCCCCACTTGTTATGTGAACTCATGAGGGCAGAGGGAAGGCAGAGGGGACCAGGCCAGCATCCTGGAAGTGTCAGCTGGAGCTGCCTCCCAGCAAAGCTGCCTCGGCTCCGCCGAGTGGCATGCCACAGTTCCCTCACAAGTGGTCTCTCTTCTCCCCAGTTCTGCTGGCCCATGAGAAACTCTCTGTTCCTGTCACGTGCAAGATCCGTGTCTTCCCAGAGATTGAGAAGACGGTGCGGTACGCCCAGATGCTGGAGAAGGCCGGCTGCCAGGTGAGCCCCGGGTCGTGGGGGTGTCTGAGCAGCAGCGCTGGCCTATCTTGATAATGGGGTGTCAGTAGGGGAGGGTGGTTCCCACCCTCGAGGTCCCTGTCCTGGGTGCCTGCTGTACATCCTCCCCTGGGCCCTTTCATGGAGGAGACAGCTGAGGCTCTTCCTGTGCCCACTCGGACAGTATGCGCCCTGGCCTCTTTGAAGGCAGTGGCTCTCCTGAGTCCCCACTGGCTCTGCGTGCTGGCACCCCAGGCTCAGTCTTCTGTAACAGGAAGTGCTGTGCTGGCTCCAGGCTTTATGCCTGTAGAGAGAACAGTGTTGGTGTCACTGCCACATCCTAGTGCCCAGAGGTTGGCCAGGGCCTCCTTTAGGAGAGCTCAGTATCCAACCCCCCAGGGGGCTGTTGACAGCGCTGGTCCCTTGCCTGGGTTCTCTACACGTTCAGCTTGGCCCAGTGAAGGCCTGGAGTGGGCCTTGTCCACAGTTGCACACCTCAAGACACCTGCTGGGGATGGACAGGAATCTAGTGACCTGAGGGTGAGGTCTCACCTGCCCCCGACGCCCCACCAGCCTAGGGTCAGCCTGGAGCTGATCTCCCCTGCACCTTCGGCCTTGGGCAGTCGGGACAATGTTGCTTCCCAGCCTGGGGGCTCCTCCCAGGGGAGCCAGGACATCAGCTGGGCACACGTGTGGCCTGTGGGGCCCAGGACCCAGGACTCAGGACCCAGTAGGAGCAGGGACCAGGCCATGCCCAGGATGGCCTTTGCCTTGCTGGGGGATCAAGAAGCCGAGGGAGAGGGTCCTAGAGTCGGCAGGGGCTCTGGCCAGGAGCGAGGCTGAGCGGCTGCTGGTCTGTCCTAGTTGCTGACCGTGCACGGACGCACCAAGGAGCAGAGGGGGCCCCTGTCAGGCGCAGCGTCCTGGGAACACATCAAGGCTGTGCGGTGAGTGACACAATTCCGCCTCTGAGAGAGCTCAGCACTTGACGCCTAGGGAGGCGGTGGGTGGTGGGCGGGGAAGCGCCTCCCAAGGTGAACTTTGGGGTATCCCAGGTGTGGGCCATGTCCTGGCTGCGATGATGGGACAGGTGTTTCCCCAACAGGAAGGCTGTGGCCATCCCTGTGTTTGCCAACGGGAACATCCAGTGCCTGCAGGACGTGGAGCGGTGCCTGCGGGACACGGGCGTGCAGGGGGTCATGAGTGCAGGTGTGTGGGGTGGGGACACGGGCGTGCAGGGGGTCATGAGTGCAGGTGTGTGGGGTGGGGACATGGGCGTGCAGGGGGTCATGAGTGCAGGTGTGTCGGGTGAGGACACGGGCGTGCAGGGGGTCATGAGTGCAGGTGTGTCGGGTGGGGACACGGGTGTGTGGGGGGTCATGAGTGCAGGTGTGTTGGGTGGGGACACAGGTGTGGGGGGGGTCGGGAGTGCAGGTGTGGGGTGGGGACTGCAGCAGGGGGCCCTGTGCACATCCTGCTGCCACCACCCAGGTTAGCAGCCTCTGCTGCCACCGTCCTCACTGCAGTGCTGTCACAGATGGTCTTTGAAGGTCCTGTCAGCTGAGCCCTGGGGCCAGGCTTTCCCAATGGGCCGGCCAGTGCGCCAGGTGGCCAGCCTTGTCCTTGGCACGAGAGGCACGGGCGAGTTTCCTGGGTGCCACAGGCTTTCGTCTGCTGTCCCCCTGGAAGCGGCCCCACGAGGCCTCCCTCCCTCCTCTCACACAGAGGGCAACCTGCACAACCCCGCCCTGTTCGAGGGCCGGAGCCCTGCAGTGTGGGAGCTGGTGGAGGAGTACCTGGACCTCGTGCGCCAGCACCCCTGCCCACTGTCCTACGTCCGGGCCCACCTCTTCAAGCTGTGGCACCACACGTGAGTCGACCCTAAGATGGAGGCTCCCTGGGGGCTTGGGGGCTGTCCAAGCGGATGCTGTCAGTCCTGCCTGCGGCGTTCTGGAGGCTTTACCCAAAGGGTTTGCTGATGGCCGAGTCTCCAAGGGCTGGGGGGAATTAGAAGTGAAGTCAGGCAGAAAGAGATACACAGTGCCCTTGTGTGCCTTGCACTTGGTGTGGGCTCAGGTGACTGGGAGTAAGAGCGGGCCCAGCCCCGCGTGATGGGCATCTGTCTCAGGCTGCAGGTGCACCAGCAGCTTCGAGAGGAGCTCGCCAAAGTGAAGACCCTGGAGGGCATCGCTGCTGTGAGCCAGGAGCTGAAGCTGCGCTGCCAGGCAGGCGCCAGGGCAGGTGGGAGCCAGGCAGGGCCATGGGTGGGGGCTCAAGTCCCTGACCGGGGGGCTTGGGCTTTGGCAGGAGGAGATGTCTAGGCAGCAGGGAGAGAAGCCCACCAGTGACCTGCCGTTCTTCCACTGGATCTGCCAGCCCTACGTCCGGCCAGGGTGAGCCCCCAGCCCGCACCAGGAGTGCTCGAGGGTCAGGGGCGGCCCAGGTTCGTCCCTGGCCACACGCCTCCCTGAGCGCTCCACCGCAGCCACGCAGGGCCTGGCTGGCGGCCTTGGTGGCTTAGCTCTATCCTTCCCTGTCAGTGGACACTTAGGTTTTAAATCTTTTCCTCATGAGAACTTTTCCAAGCCCCTCTGATTCTGGTAGGTTTGTCCTCTGGGTTCTCTGAGGTGAGGCCATCTGTGGCCACAGCCCTGCCTGGACCAGCTCAGTGGCTCAGACCCTGGGCCCCAAAGCTCTGTGCCAGCCATGCATTCCGCCCTGTGGGCTGCACACGAGCCCCGCCCATGAAGCTGCTCAGGTGTCCGGAGCCACATGCACATCCCATGTGCCAGCACCTGATGTGGCCACCCGCCCCTCCTCGCCCTGGGTCCTCAGCTGGGCTCTGCCTGCTTGGCTATGGCTGGGCCACCTCCCAGGGGGTCCTTGTGCACCACCCACCGCCTTCCCCTCAGGCCCCGGGAGGGGAGCAGGAACTCGGGGGCTTGCAGTAAACGGGCCCTGGAGGAGGAGGAGGGCAGCTCAGAGGTCCTGTCCAAGAATAAGCAGAAGAAGCAGCTGAGGAACCCCCACAAGACCTTCGACCCATCTCTGAAGCGTAAGCATGGATCCTGCCATTGGGGCTGGGGCGGCGGCGTGGCTGAGGCCAACCGGGGTGGTCACTTCATTGCCTGTGTCCTCATGTTGCTGGGGCAGAAACCCAGACTTGGTCAGTGGGGCTGATGGCCCCGAGCCAAAGACAGGCACGGGGAAGGCCCCACCCCGGGGCCTGGGCAGTGTGGTCAGGGCAGACCCCAGGTCTGAACACAGGGGCCTGTGCAGGGCCACTAATCATCCTGAGCCACAGCACACGGTGCACGTGGGAACATTAGTCACAGCCAGCCAGACAAGGCTGTGGACGAGCCCACAGCCAGGTGTCGTCTGAGGGGCTTGTCTGCACATCAGGGCCTTGGGTCACTGAAGCTGACCTTGCATAGCAGAGCCCAGGGTGGGCCCCAGCTCTGTGTGGGAGTGGCCCGAGCAGAAGGCCAAGAGCCCCCAGGCAAGTGTGTGGGGTCACACTGCTGGGCCGGAAGCCATGCCTTTGGGCACAGGCACCAGCAGGAAGGAGCCTGGATTAGACAGGATGAGGCTGCTTGTCCCTTTTGTGAGACCAGAAACATGTAGACTTCTTGGACACAGCTTCATGTGTCAGGCTGGAGGCCTCAGTGCCGAGACCCCCGGTGTCCCTCTGTGTCCTGGGCCAGCCCAGGTGGCCTCTCGGGCTTGGTTGAGTCCCAGGCCCCTGCCCAGTGGGAGCCTACCGGGAACAGACCAGCCGGAAGAATCTGGAGACCTTGCCACATGCCCCCCAGGGGCTGGTGGGTTGCCAAGGGGCTGCGGCAGTTTCCTGCCCGGGCTGTGGTGCGCGTAGGCAGCTGGACAGGTGGGAGGTGGAGCTTTGCCTTGAGGGCCCTCTTGGCCCTTCTGCTTAGGAGCCCTGCAGGTGGGCCAGCTGTGCCCATCGTTCCTGTCTAGGGGACGTAATGAGGCCACTCTTCTTGCTGGGGTCCCAAGCCCACCTGCTTCTCATTCACTTCCCACAGGACATCCCTTGCTCAGGGGTTAAAGCCTGTGTCTGCTGCCCTCCCCAGAGCTGCCCGGCTGGCAGGGATGCCATCAGCAGGCTACATGGAGGCCGATAGGCCACCTCAGGCTCCCCTCATCCAACCAGCACCCTGTTTGTTTTTTTCTTCCTAGCAAAATATGCAAAGTGTGACCAGTGTGGAAACCCAAAAGTGAGTAGGTTCTGGCTGTGTGCTGCCCAGGCCTCAGCTCCCCGGGGTAGGCCAGGGGTCCCCACACCACTCAGGGCGGCATCTGCCCAGCTGCGCTTACAGCCTGGACACAGCCAAAGCTGGGCTAGGCGTGCCTGTGTCCAAGCTGGGGGACTCTGGGAGGTTTCCAGCTGGCCAGGTCCCCCACACCCCATGCTGTCCTACCTAGCCTGGCCCTGGGGGTGTGGGGTCAGCTGCAGGCTCACTGGCTTTCCTGTGCCCAGGGCAACAGGTGTGTGTTCAATCTGTGTCGTGGCTGCTGTAAGAAGCGGGCCTTTAAAGAGACTGCGGATTGCCCAGGTGAGGGGACACCTGCTGCCATCAGCCCCTCCTTCCCCCGCACCCCTGTAGGCAGTGAGACCCCTGGCTTCCTGACTCCCACATCCCTTCTCGCCCCCTCTGCCAGGTCACGGATTGCTTTTTAAAACCAAACTGGAGAAGTCTCTGGCCTGCAAAGGGGCCCAGCTTGGGCTGCAGGAGCCTCAGCAGGCTGGGCCTGGGGCACCAGGTGGCTTCTCTGAAGTTGTGGGCAGTGCGCTGGCCTGAGGGCCAGTAGGACCTGCCCCCACCCCGGGACTGCTGCTGGAGCCTGGACACGTCCTACTTAAGGAAACGCCTTTTTCTCAGGGAATCTCCTGCTATTTAACATGGAAGGACGTGCCAATGTCCTCCTCTTGGCCCACACTGGGGCCTGGAAATGCTGCAGCTGGGAGCAGGCCTCAGGCTGGACCTGCCCTGTCCTCACAACTCTGTGTTCTAAAAAGTGAACAATAAATCATTTCAAAGGTGCACAGAGAGCCAACAGCCCATGACCACTGACCCGATGAGGTGCACAGGGGAAAGCTGGGACATGGGTCCCCTCCTGCCTCCCCTGCAGAACAGGCAGCTAGAACCCCCAGGGAGCCTCCTGAGAGCAGGACAGCCCTGACAGCAGGCCAGGCTGGGGCATACAGTGGAGCCCAAGGACTAGGCCACCCTAGTTTCTCTGACCAGGCCCTGGCCAAAGCCCTACCCAGAGAGACAAACCTTAGAAACCAAAGGCAACTGAGGGGGAGGAGGAACAGCCAAGGGCAACGCTCAACCTGCTCTTTAATCGACCAGTCAAGGCATCTGCGCCACGTGCAGGAGGGGGCTGGGCGCTGCAGTCAGGTCCCTGGGGAGGAACCCACAGAGTTGAGTCCTGTAGGCCCCCCATTCCAGGAAGGGGCCACAGCTGGCAGCCGCCAGCCTCCCCAGGCCCCCGGCGCAGGGCACAGTGGGGTGGAGGGGTGCTGCTGGAGGTGGGCAGGCAGGAAGCCCCAGTGCTGTGTCCAAGGCTGGGGGGGTGCAGGCTGTCCTGGAGGCCGGCAGCCCTCACATGTTGGTGCTCATTCGAGACTGGCTGTTGGCCGGAGTCAGCTCCCCCTGGCTCCCTTCTCTGGGTGGGGACTGTGGGGAGACAAAGGCTCTCAGCCCACTCACCACATGGGCGTGGCCCGCGCCCCAGCACCCGCTGGGCCACTCACCTTGACATGGATCTGGTTGCGCAGCACAGCTGCCCTCAGCATCATGGCCTTGGCACGGCGCTGGAACTCCTTGCCCATCAGCAGGGACTTCTCGAACGTGGTGCTGCGCTGGTCCACATCCCGGGCGTACAGGATCTGCACAGGCGCAGGCTCAGTGAGGCCCGGTGGGGTGCCGGACACCACCCCGCCGCCCCCAAAGCACGTGGCCACCTTGCTGTGCGAGTCCACGCGGGCGTTGATGAGCCCCTCCAGGATGAGCTGCGTCAGCTCGTCCTCCAGGGCTGCTACTGTGGTGTTGAAAGCTGCTGCCATCTTGTGCATGTCGGCCGACACGTAGGGACTGAAATACTGGGGCGCAGGGGTGTTGGGTATCAGCTGCCCACAGCTCCCAGACACATGGCAAGTGTCCCAGCCTGTCCCCCTGCTTCCCCAGGCTTACCTGGATGAGGGCACGGTTGCGGATCTGAGTGTACAGGGTCCTGACATGGGGAGCCAGGTACATGTCCAAGAGCAGGTTGTCCTGAAGAGGAGGATGGGTCAGGGACCGGCTGCTGCTGCTGCTGCTGCTGCTGCTGCCCTGGCCCTCGGAGCAGGAGACCAGCCAGCCCCCAGGTGGCCGGGCCCCGCTCTCGCCCCCACCCGTGGCCAGGACCCACCTTCATCTCGTCCAGCATCTTCAGACAGGAGGCGTACTTGGACTCGTAGAATTTGAAGATGATGTCTCGAACCTGTGGCTCCAGCTCCAGGAACAGCTTGAAAGAGCTGCTGATGCCAGATTCCTCTGAGCCCCCCACCCTCCACTGCCTGCCCCCCACCCTCCAAGGGACCCACAGGACACTAATCCCCAGGCAAACAACTGGGAAACTGCAGGGCCGGGGTCCGGCAGGAGGAGGGGGCCAGTGCCCACCCCCACTGACCTGCTGGAAATGACGTTGCGCTGCAGCTCCTGCCGGTCAAAGGTGGCCAAGGCACACAGGCCGCCATAGACAGCCACATTGCTGGGGGACAGCAGCTGAAGACCAGAGACCCAGCGTCACGGGGGTCATGAGAGACCAAGATGTCAGGGATGGGCCACCAGCCCTGCCATCGCTGGCTCAGAGCATGGCGAGGAGCCCCTTGGGGGAGACCCGCCTCCCCCAGTAGAAAGCCCAAAGCACAAGCCCTCACTGTATCACCAAGTCCCCAGGAGGGCTCCTCCCCAGAGATCCCAAGGCCCTCACCTCAGGGAAGTCGCAGTGATCAAACGAGGCCAGCAAGAAGCACTTGGCGGCCTGCTTGTACTTCCTCGCAGCCAACTCGGCCAAGCCTGGTGGAGGGGACCAGGAAGGGGAGAAGCAGGGATGAGGCCTGGCCACCTGCAGGGAGCCGGCAGCGCCTCATAAGGCCCGTGTGGGGGGTGGGAATGCTAGCCGCTGAGCTGAAACCACTGCCTGCACCAACACGGCAGGCTCCCGAAGCCAGGGAAGCCTGAAGCCACTGCCCCCACCGCTGCAGACCCCCAGGCTCAGAGAAGCTGGAGCCAGTGGACCTGCCCACGCCATGCAGCTGACCAGGGGGGTACCGGCTACAAGACCAGCCTGTCAGAGGATACCTCCGTCCTGGACCACATACATGGCTTCTCCCCAGTGGACCTGAGCAGGCGTCATCTACACCTGTGGACGTGGGGGCACATGTGCCCCATGATACCCCGCACTCCGACAAATAGCAAGGCTTCCCCAGCTGCGTGACACAGAAAGGAGCACCCCTTCCCTAGGCGTGAGGACTCAACAAGTGGGGTGTTTGGGGGTCAGCTGAGGCTCCTGCGCCCTGGCACCCAGGCCTCACCTGCGGCACACTTGAGCTTGGTGAGAATGGCCTGGGTCTGGCTGTCCCGTTCTCCTCGCTGCTGCAGAGGGAAGCCGCACACGTGAGGCCCACGCCCTCCTCATCCCCCACAACCCCGTGCCCAGGCCCTGGCCCCAGCCCAAGAGGGAAGAAAGTCAGACTTGGGGGAGAACGTGGTGAGGGGCATCAGAGGCACCGGCAGTGGCCAGGGCTCCTGGGCAGGGTCTCGGTCATGGCGGCTCATACCTCAGCAATCTCTGGGGTGGACTCGGCCTTGCTGACGTAGCTCAGCACGTGAGACCAATTTTGCAAGTAGACACTGACCTGGCAGACGAGCAGGTGGGGACAGACTGAGCCCGGGCACCCCCTCCTGCCCCACAACCAGTGCTGCCCAGCAGGTACCCCCCTCATGCCCACGCCTGCCGCAGGCCTGACCTTGATGACGTTGAGGCACATGTTGATGACGTGCTTGGCGCTGGTACAATAGTCTCGCGCCCGGGAGTAACACTTGAGGGCGTTGCTGAGGTCCCCACAGTCGAGGTAGTGGTCGCCCAGGTCGTCGTGGCCACGCCTATGGGTCCAGCCATGAGCAGACGCTGGCGGCGCCCCTCTGGGCCTGGCCGCCCCCCGCCTCCCCTGCCCAGGTGGGCTGGCACCTGATGCTCTCCTTGATGGAGTTGCCCTTGTAGTTCTTGAGGTCCGTGTCCAGCTTCTCCAGCTTCAGCAGGGCCTTCTTCCGAGTGGCCTCCACCCAGGCCGTGTCCAGGGGCGGGGGCTCCACACCACTCTCGGGGATGGCGTCCGGTGCGTTCTGCAGCTCCCTGAGAGAGGACCTGGCTGTCAGGGAGGCGGGGGGAAGTCGCCAGCCATAGGCTGGCCCCCAGAGGCTGTTCTGTAGGCAGGTGGGCACCTCCCACGGGCCCCTGCCTGTCCCCAACCCCCACCTTGAGGGGCCCAGTCTGCACGAGGGGCACAGAGACAATCGCTGACCCCAGAAGCCCACAGCTGGGTGGGAAAGCCCAACGGGACGAGGGGCTGCCACCTCCACGTCATCTCCGCCAGCAGCTCCACTCAGAACACCTGAACGTATACACACGTGTTGAGAGGCTGGGACACGGGGAGCTTTCGTTCTCCTAGTCAGGAACGAGAGCACCACCCGCCCCAACTTCTCAACAGGGAAGCCCGTCCCTGCTGCGTACGGCAGTGTCGCCGTGCTGGCAAGTGCTGCTGTGAGCACCACAGAGGTAGGGGTGCCGGGAGTTACAGGGCACAGGAGGGGGACACACCACACCCAGCCCCAGGTGCCTGCTCCCACTGTGGCCTCTGTCTCCTTGTGCCGAGCACCTGGCCTCACCTGGTGGCCTCTGAGAGCTTCCGGTGGATCTCCTCGTACATGTCCACGTTAAAGGTCCTCTGCACAAAGGAGAGGGCCATCTTCAGGGCCTCCACCCGCAGCGGGGGGCAGTGGTCAGCAATGAACTGTAGCCGCTCAATGCGCATCAGGCCGCTGTAGCTGGCCGCGTACTGCTCCAAGTCCTGGTGTGGGGTCAGGGGAGCAGACAAGGTCAGGTAGGGTATGCAAGCCAGGACTCCAGACCCCAACCCTAGGCCAGCAAGTCAGGTACAGAGGCCTGACTGTCTTGGCCAGAATGCTGGCCCTTCACTCATGCCAGAAAGGACCTGGGCCTATGACAGGAACTGGACTATGCGCCTGGGATCACAAGATGGACTGCTGTCCCAGGGGCTGAGGAGAGACCACTGGCGTGGGTGGGGGGCAGGAGCCTCCAGGGTAGAGCACTGTAATTGGAGATTGTGGGCCATGAGCAGAGCTCTTCCATGTTGGCAAGAAGTGGGTGCAGGGTCTCAAGCTGGGCTATGAACCCAATATGAGCAGGCAATCAGAAACCCTAGAGGTTTCTGGGTCAAAAAAAGACATGACCGGGAAGGTTTCTGAGAAGAGTGGGCCTATCTACTGTACAGGCTGTGGTGGGGAGTCTAGTAGGGACTCTCCAGAAGGACAGAGACACCCCATGTTCTCCCCCGGGCTCCATACCAGAGTGGGGTTCTCCACCACATAGTTGACATCGGGTGCATTCTGTGGGTCCTCCTGGGGGTCCACGTCGATCTGCATGGGCTCCACGGCCCCCTGCAACATGGGCCAGGCACCTTGGCATCTCGAGCAGGGGACTGCCCAGGGAGGGCGAGAGACCCTCACTGTTCCCGTGGTCAGCTATGCCCCAGATCTTCCAAGGCATGATCGGACCACTCACCCCCAAGCACGCCCTCCCCAGCCCGTCCTCACTCCCACCCGGGTTCCAGCGCCCTACATCAGGGAGAGGCCATTTGCCCCACTCTAACCGCCCATGTCTGGAGCGGGAAAGCAGACACTGGGAGGAACACCTACACAGGGACACCCAGGGCCCCTGCACATTCCCAGCCACTGTCCTGATGCAGCTTCCTGCGAGCCATAGAGAAGAAATAAACGCCACCTTAACCCCAGGAGGTAGGAGAACCAGCCCCCGGAATCTGTCCTGAGCAGCTGGAGCAGCGATACAGGGCTGAGAGTCACGCCACGGGGTTGGGAGAAGGGAAAGGAGTCGTCTCGGGGAGTCCTATGGCCCCCAGCTGGGAGGGACAGAGGGGCCAGGACCTCGGCTTAGGACCTCTACAGAGCAGGCTGGAAGAAGCCCGCCGCACCCGGCCCGGCAGGAGCCTGGGAGGCCCTGGCCTCGGCTCTCCTGCGGAAAAGCACAGAGCGCGGCTCCCTCAGCAGACCCCGGGCGCGCTGCGCCCTGCCCTCCTGCTTGGCACTGAGTCCCTGTCCTCGGCCGGCAGAGCAGCAGGGCCCAGCCACGGCGGGGGCGGCTGGCGCTCTGCTCCCCCCTCCCTCGCTCGCTCGCTGGGGCCCCCTCTCCTGGAAGGTACCTCATAAAGCAGCGTACAGGCCGACAGACTGGCGCTCAGGCTGAAGTCCCCGGCCGTGCCAGGCAGGAAGAGGTCTGACCTACTGCTGTGAGGGGTGCAGTACAGATCTGTCACTGACGAGGAGGCCGAGCTGGGGGCCGAGCTATCCCTCATTCTGTCCTGACTTTCTGCACCCCCCGACCCTGACACAGAGCTGGCTGGCTGCTGAAGGGAGAAAGAGCGTTAGCGTCGGCGGCCGGGACCCTCCCGAGCGGCTGGGGGCAGGGAGGGCGGCGGGCGGGCGGGCGCGCAGCCGCGGCGGAGGCAAGGCCCGCCTGCGCCCCACGCGCGGCCCCGACGCTCGCTGCCCGCGGACCGGCCGGAGCGCCGCCGGCCTGGCGCAGGCCCGCGCCGGTCGGCCTCGCCGGCGCGGCGCGCGGGGTGCGGGCGCGGGGCGCGCGGCCGCGGCTCGTTACCTGCAAGTTAAACACCTGAACCGGCAGCGGCATCTTGCGCCCACCCCGCCGCGGCGCGCCGTCCACTTCCGGGGCAGCGCGGCCGCTGCTTCCGGGGCGCGGGGCGGGCGGGCCGCGCGCGCTTAAAGGGCGCGCGCCCGCGGCTCGGCCAGGCGCGCCCGCCGGCGGCGTCGGGGTCGCGCCGCCGCATGAGCCGCGCGCGGGGCGCGCTGTGCCGGCCTGCCTCGCCTGGCCGCGGCCCTGGCCGCGCTGCTGCTGCTGCCGCTGCCGCTGCCCCGCGCGCCCGCCCGCACCCCCGCCCGGCCCTGCCCGCCGCCCTCCCGGGGCTGCGGCCGGACGACGTCTTCATCGCCGTCAAGACCACCCGGAAGAACCACGGGCCGCGCCTGCGGCTGCTGCTGCGCACCTGGATCTCCCGGGCCCGCCGGCAGGTGAGTAGCCCCCGCCCGGCACCCCGGGCCCCGCCGAACCACCATCCGGTCTCCTCCCTCCGAGGCCGCGGACCGAAGGGGGCGCAGGGCACTGGGCTCCTCCCTAGGGTCGCCCTGGGCAGCCCCCTGATGCCTCTCTGGCCGTCTCTCCCCAGACGTTCATCTTCACCGACGGGGACGACCCTGAGCTAGAGCTCCGGGGAGGTGAGCATCTCCCCAGCCCTCCTGCTCCAGAAGAGAGACTGGGGGTCGTGCTCCTGTGTCATGGGGACTGTTGTTCTCTGCCTATGTGTGGGAGATCCGGGGAGGTGAAGGCTCTTGCCCGTGCTCTCACAGGCCACAGAGAGCAGAGCCTCAGCACCCACCTCTTGGTCAGCCCAGTGTCTTCCCTGCCAGCCAAACTCTGCTGAACTTCCAGGAACTCAGGCCAGTGCCACGTCCCCGAAGAAGGCTGGCATTGTCCCTTCCACCTCTGCCCAGTTCTTCTCAAGACCCCAGTGACTGTCATCCACTTCAACTTCAGAGATTACCAATGGGATCGGCCGATGGAGAGCAGAACTGGGGCTGTGACTGGGTTTGGCGAGGTAGCCAGGCCCACCAGACAGCCACTGGACCTCACAGGGCAGCTGGACACCACCCTTGCTCAGCACTCGACCCTCACGTTCCCCTTTCTCCAACTGGCAGGCGGCCACGTCATCAACACCAATTGCTCTGCCGTGCGCACCCGCCAGGCCCTCTGCTGCAAGATGTCCGTGGAGTATGACAAGTTCATCGAGTCCGGGCGCAAGTATGCGGTGGCTGTGGCCGGCCCTCAGAGAGCTGGGGCTGAGCTGGGCCGGGGGCCCTTTGGCCTTGGCCCTCGCAACAACGTCCCCTCCCGCTCCAGGTGGTTCTGCCACGTGGACGACGACAACTACGTGAACCCCGAAAGCCTCCTGCACCTGCTGTCCACCTTCTCGCCCAGCCAAGACATCTACTTGGGGCGGCCCAGCCTGGACCACCCCATCGAGGCCACGGAGAGGGTCCAGGGAGGCGGAACTGTGAGTGCCGGGGACAGGGAGGCACAGCTGAGAGCCTGGAAAGCCAGGCCTAGCGGGGATCGGGGCTGGGGCACACGCTGACCCCCCCAGGCGGCCCAGTGTGGCCTTCTGGGAGCTGGGCAGGCCAGGAGGTGCTTCAGGCCAGATCTCCCAGTCTCTGCCTGGGGGAGATGCCTGGGGAGCCCAGGGAGGGCTTGGGGTGAGAAGCGTGCCCCAGGCAGCCTTGACTGCCACCCCTTGACTGCAGGCGACCACAGTCAAGTTCTGGTTTGCCACCGGTGGGGCCGGGTTCTGCCTCAGCAGAGGCCTCGCCCTCAAGATGAGCCCGTGGGCCAGGTGAGTGGGGGGGAGGCAGGGTGGGGATGGGGGCAGGGCAGCTGAGGCCGAGCAGGCACTGACAGCCCCCCCCACACACAGCCTGGGCAGCTTCATGAGCACGGCTGAGCGGGTACGGCTGCCCGACGACTGCACAGTGGGCTACATCGTGGAGGGGCTGCTGGGCGCCCGCCTGCTGCACAGCCCCCTCTTCCACTCCCACCTGGAGAACTTGCAGGGGCTGCCTCGGGACACTGTGCTCCAGCAGGTATGGGTGCTGTGCTCCCTGGCGCCTCTGGAGGTGCTGCTGCCCTGGCGCAGGCCCCTGGCCTCGCCCAGCCCAGCTCAGGGGCCCAGCTCGGCAAGGGCTGGAGTGGACCCTGAGCAGGTGCCTGGGCCTGCTGGATGGCAAAGCGTCTGCAGGGGGCAGGTGTGGGCAGGGGAAGGGCAGATCCTATGGTGGGGAGCAGGGACAACTGGGCTCTGGGTGGTGATGGTGTCACCTGAAACCCCCTCCCCCGCTCAGTCACCCTTCGGTGATATTCACCAACCCTAGCCTGGAAAGTAGGTGGGTCTAGGGCCCCTCCGGCAGGGGTTTCTGGGCTGGGGAGGGCTTGGAGGCTCTGGGCCTGAGACCAGAGCAGCCCCTGCCCTGGGCCCCCATCCTTTTCTAGGTCACCCTGAGCTATGGGGGTCCTGAAAACCCCCATAACGTGGTCAGTGTGGCTGGAGTCTTCAGCCTGCAGCAGGATCCCACACGGTGAGTGGGTGGTGGGGGTGGGGGTCCTGGTGCCAGGCCCTACCCACAGACCTGACCCCCACTCTCTCCCTCCCCAGGTTTAAGTCCATCCACTGCCTTCTCTACCCAGACACGGCCTGGTGCCCCAGGCAGGGGGACCCCACCTCTCGGTGACCAGCGACCCCTGACCCGGGGCTGGCGCTGGCTCTGCCGCAGGTGCCAGGAGAGGGAATGGCACCGCCCCCACCTGGCCTGCAGCACCCCCAGCCCTGGGTGCTCGGAGTGCCAGGGGCCTCCCCAGGAAGACGGGGAGGGGCTGTGCTGCAGAGGGCTCCACTCCCAGGGCTCCGTCCTGCCTTCCTCCTCACCCTGCTGGGCGGGGAGCCGGCGGCCAGGCGGGCCACGTGCTGGAGAGTGGCCCACGCCAAGGCCCTGCCTGTGGTTTCTCGGGCTGGACCATGACCGTCGCCAGGGTGCAGCCTGGCCGGCCTCATGGGGCAGCTGCTGTCCCGGCTGCAGACCAGCCCTGTAGCCCAATGCAGTCTGGACTCAGCGGAGGGCCAACCTCTCAGCTAGAGCTGCACTCCTGGCCCAGGCGCCCCTGCCTGGAGGCCTCCAGGTGGTCTCAAAGACGCTCTCCTCCGACTTGGCGGTGTTCAGGACCCTTCCACGCGGGCCCTGTGCTCCCCTCCACGGGGGCCAGGTCCATAAAACAGTGAGACTTTCATTGGGGGACCCCTCAGGGGTGAGAACACCCCTAACCCACACCTCTGAGCAGACCCACCAGCCTGGACTGGCGCCTCCCCTGGGGGGAACAGAGCGCCAGGGCCGTGGCCTTCCCGGGCCTCTCTCCGCTGCTGTGAGTAAAGCTTCCTCCGCACTCGCTTGGGCTCCTGTCTTCGCCACCCCCACTTCCTCCCTCCCAGGAGGGCTCTGCCCAGGCCGTCTCCTTCCCAGGCAGGTCCGAGTGGTCCTCATGGTCCTACCCGTCCCTTAAACCCGGCAGACACTGTCCCGGGAGGACGTCGTCCTGAGTGTTGCGCTTGGTTTCTCAGCACAGTGTGGACCAGCGTGTGTCTGCGTGTGTGTGTGTGTCTGCGTGTGCACGTACAGCTATGTGCTTGGGGGGTACGAGTGGGTGCACAACATGTGTACTCGGGTATAAGCATGTGTTTGGGCACATGTGTGTGCGTGGTCGTCGGCGTGCAGACGTGCCTGCGTGACCCTATCGAGAGGGGGCGTGTGCGTGCGTGTAGGTGGGTATGTGTCCAGGCGTGTGTGTCTGCACGTGTGCAGGGCGTGTGTCCGCGGCAGTACCTGCGTGTGCACTCATGAGCGGGCGTGTGCAGATGTAGGTGTCGAGGGGTCAGGGTGGCGATGCCCACATAACCGGGTTGGAGTTGGCAAGGGCTGGTTTCCAGCTGGTTCCTTGGTGCATGGCTGGGAGTAAAATGCAGCCCGGGGACACCTGGGGTCCAGCACGCCCGGTCTTCCCCGAAGTGCAGGAAGAGGCTCCGGCCCTGCGCCTGGGGCAGTGGGCAGGAGGGGAAGGCGGAGCCGAAACCTTCATGTCAACAGTGGAGAAGAGAAAACAGCAACTTCTTTTGTTTTATTTTTTGAGACAGAGTCTCACTTTGTTGCCCAGGCTGGAGTGAGTGCCGTGGCATCAGCCTAGCCCACAGCAACCTCAAACTCCTGGGCTCAAGCAATCCTGGCTCAGCCTCCCATGTCGCTGGGACTACAGGCATGTGCCCCCATGCCCGGCTAATTTTTTACATATATATTAGTTGGCCAATTAATTTTTTTCTATTTATAGTAGAGATGGGGTCTCGCTCTTGCTCAGGCTGGTTTCAAACTCCTGACCTCAAGCAATCCGCCCGCCTCGGCCTCCCAGAGTGCTAGGATTACAGGCATGAGCCACCGTGCCTGGCCAACAGCAACTTCTTAAAAGTTGCTGCAGAATCGTCCCAGCAACAGTCAGGTCCCTCGAGAGCAAATGCCACCTGCATCAGCCGCCCACCCCTGCCACGTTGCCTCTAGCCCCTTGAGAGTGGACATGGGCGTGCTGGGCACTTGGTTCCCGACAGACATGCGGTTTTGAGGATCTGAGTCTCCCGCTGACCATCACATAAGGATTCCCCAGCCTGCGCCGAACCCACACCTTGCTCGGGCCCCACCCATGGACGGCGTCAGATTGCAGGGAATGTAGGCGAGAACACACTCGCAACAACAGGAGGGGTGTCCAGGGTGGATTCCTGTGAGCAGATGATCACCTAGAACGTGAGTGGTTTTATAGCCGCCGTGGCACATGCTGACCGAAAAAGAGTCAGCTCACACTATGGAAACCCCAGCACTTTGGGAGGCCGAGGTGGGAGGATCGCTAGAGGCCAGGAGGTCAAGACACGCCTGGGCAACGGAGCCAGATCATGTCTCCACAAAAAGGGCGAGTTCAACTTGCAATCCCTCTGCAAATGTAACTTTGTATCCATTGTACTTCAATCGTGTCATACTGGTCTTATAACTTAAAACATCATGTTGCGGCCCAATAGCTATGAAATGGCAGCTTGTTACTCAAGCCATTCTCTGGGGTTGGACTCGTTTCATTTCTTTCCTTTTTTAGCCTAAGTTCAGGTCCACTTACAAGGTCTTGAGGCTTTTCTCCTAAGTGACCAGTCACGATTCTCCCGACGTGTGTTGGGTTATGATTATGAACTTTCAAGCCAGTAATTTTCCGTTTTTATTCGAACAGCCATTCCCCGGCCCAGCTGGTCCTGCAGCTGGGATGTCCTGGGTAGAGACGGCCCATCCCAGCCTCAAGGCCCTGCTGGACTGGGCTGGCCCAGGTTGCCGGGTAACGGAGCGTGGGGGCGGCGTAGGGACATCTCAGGAGCAGATGGAGCTTGCGGACAGGCCGGGGGGTCCAGGGAGCTGGCACGGTGGGAAGAAACCAGACAGGGGCCTCTAGGTGGGCACTGTTAGCCCCTGAGGCAGCAAGGTGGCCACAGGCGCAGGCCACACGACGCCTATTATGGCAGGTCACAAGGGTATGTCCATGCTCAGTGGACACCCTTCAGCCCAGGGGCCTGAGCAGCACAATATACCAGGTAGACATGACAGAGCCGTGGGGACCGCTCCACCCAGGGCAGCAGCACGGTCTCGAGCACACGGGGACGCTGCGCCGGGACAGACCCACGTGACCCACAAACCAAGTCTCAACTCGTTTAGGAAGGCATCACCAACAAACATCTTCTCTGCACCGATGGAACCAAGTTACAAGTCAGTAGCAGAGGAAGACTGGGAAAATAACAAATTTGTGGAAATTTAACAACATACTCTTAATAACAGTGGGTCAAGGAAGAAATCAGAAATTTGAAAATACATAGAGACAAATGGAAACAAAAACGCAGCTTGCCAAAACGTAGGCGACGCAGCAAAAGCAGAAATTGACAACTGCAAATGCTCACGTTGAACAGAAGAAAGATCTCAAGGCGACAACCCAACTTGATAGCTTAAGGAACTAGAAAAAAAGAACAAATTAAAACCCAAAGTGAACAGGACGAAGGAAATAACGATTAGCACAGACAGAAACAGGGAAAAGAAAAAATAAACAGGCAGGAGGATCGCTTGAGCCCAGGAGTTTGAAGTTGCTGTGAGCTAGGCTGACACCACGGCACTCTAGCCCGGGCAACAGAGTGAGACTCTGTCTCAAAGAAAAGACTGGGCGCGGTGGCTCACACCTGTAATCCTAGCACTCTGGGAGGCTGAGGCGGGCAGATTGCTCCAGCTCAGGAGTTCAAAACCAGTCTGAGCAAGAGCAAGACCCCGTCTCTACTATAAATAGAAATTAATTGACCAACTAATATATATAGAAAAAATTAGCTGGGCACGGTGGCGCATGCCTGTACTCCCAGCTACTTGGGAGGCTGAGGCAGGAGGATTGCTTGAGCCCAGGAGTTTGAGGTTGCTGTGAGCTAGGCTGACGCCACGGCACTCACTCTAGCCTGGGCAACAAAAGTGAGACTCTGTCTCAATAAATAAATAAATAAATAAATAAATAAATAAATAAATAAATAAATAAATACAAAGTTAAATAAAGAGGAATGAATTTGGATTCCTAGTGCATGCCATATACAAAACGTAACTCCAAATCCACCAAAGACCTAAACAGAAGAGCTAAAACCATTAACTCTTAGAAGTAGCCATATGAGTTCACCTTTGCAACCTTCAGCTGGGTAACGGCTTCTCCTGGGCCCCAGCGATCATCCGCCTCGGCCTCCCAAGTGCCTGGGACTACAGGCACCACCACGTGGCTCCTGTTCCTCCCTGAGTTTCCACGGAGAACGTCCCCCTTCCCGTCGCTGTTCCTGTCAGTGATGTGCATTTTTTTCTCTGGACTCTTTCCAGATTTTCCTTCTATCTTTGGTTTTAATCACATTAACCATGACATGCCTTGGTGTGTTTCCTTTTATACTTACCCTGCTTGGAGTTCACTGGGCTTCTAGGAGCTGTAAGTTGATGATTCTAATAAAATTTTGGAAGTTTGGGGGCATTATTTCTTCAAATATTTTTCAGCCCTATTCTATCTTATTTTTCTGAGATTTCAACCACCTGTATATTAGACCATTTTATGTTATCCAGAGGGTTCTTGAGGAGTCTGTTTTTCTTCCATCTTTTTGTTCCCTTCCTTCAGATTGGATCATTTCCATCGATCTCTCTCCAAGTGTGTTGATCTTGTCAGCTACAATCTGCTGTTAAACCTACTTAGTGAATTTTTAATTTAGTTCTTATACTTAAAATTTTTCCCAGGTGTTCCTTTTTATAGATTCCTCTTCGGGGCTGAGTTTCCTATTTGCTCACCCATCGATGTATTTTCCTATAATTCTTTGAACGTATTTACAATAACTGCTTTAATGTTTTGCCTGGTAAATCCAGAGAAAAATCTATTGACTGCTTTGTTTTCATTGACTTTCCTGTTTCTTTTCAATTCCAGATAATGTCTGTTGTATTTTAGACACTGTAGATGATGATATAAGTCTAGATTTTGTTATCTTCCTCTGAAGAGTGTTGACTTTTGTAGCAGTAGGCAGCTTAGTTACTGCCTAACCTCTTTGAACCTGTTCAGGTTTGGTTTTACACTTTATTAGGGCTATCTGTGGAAAACCTAAAGTGTCCCCCAAGGCCCTCTAACTTAGTGCATGGGATTCAGCTTCCAAACCATCTCCCTTGTGACTACAATCAGGGCTTGGCTTTAGGCTTCAGAGAGTACCATGTTTCCCTGAAAATAAGACCTACCCATAAAATAAGCCCTAGCAGGATTTCTAAGCATTTGCACAATATAAGCCCTACCCCGAAAATAAGACCTAGTGATGGGCGTGGCTACGCAGCGAATCTGCGCAACCCTTGCATTTCCTCACGGAGCGGGAAAGATGAGCAGCTCTTCTCATCTACCCCATGAGAGCTCTATGGCTCGACATGAGAGATTGGGGCCGATGGTTCTAAAGGAAATAGAGTCGCAAGAAATTCAGGATGGAATTCGGGGTTTGGAGAGTGATGATGATGTTCCACAAGAAGACGACTTAACTCTATTTGAATAAATGTAGATTGTTGTACCGTACTTAAAAAAAAATTAAAAAAATAACACATCCCCTGAAAATAAGCCCTAGGGTGTCTTCTTGAGGAAAAATAAATATAAGACCCCGTCTTATACTGTACAAAAAAGACACCTGCACTTGAATGTTTATAGCAGCACAATTCATAATTGCAAGGCTATGGAAACAGCCCAAGTGCCCATCAATCCAAGAATGGATTAATAAAATGTGGTATATGTATACCATGGAGTACTATTCAGCTCTAAGAAACAATGGTGATATAGCACATCTTATA